GGGTGAGTGAGGTGGCCAACATCCTCTACCGATTACTCAATCATCATAAAATTCATGAAGGAATCTTTTGTTTGTTCGTGCAGTTGCATTGTCATGTTGAAAAAATCCTTCTTCCAATTCATCATCATGTAATTATTCAATGAATTCTTGTAACAAAGCACTTTGACAACTTTCCTAATGTCATGACATAAGGTAATTCACTACATTTTCCAGGCATGTCTCCCTAAATTCCTCTACACAAAGACTTGTTGAATATTTTCATACCCCATTTTGATCTTTTACTCCATTTCGAAGATAAGATTGGAGAAGAAACTTTGAAACTTGTCTTCTTCTAAGGTGAACGGCATGATTTAACCTAAAAATAAATCAACGAAATTTATACCAAACCGATTTAAAATAAAATAATTATTTACCTTAGAGAAAAATCACAATCGAATTTTTGTCTTAATAAAGACAGATAATATTAAATAAAACCGCAATAAACTCATAATGAAATATTGAAAACACCAAACCCCAAAACCAAGAACACGACTCTGAGCTCAGCTGATCGAAACCATTGAAACTAAAAATCGATATCACCTCGTCGACCAATAAGAACGTTGAAAATTAAAAACTAGTAGAGATGGGAGGAGGCTGTGACGAGGACAGTAAGTATTGGTATCAAGCGCTTTGGAAAGTAGTTTTTAGCGGACCGGCTTTTTTGATCTCTCGGTAGATTAATTGCATTTTTATTACTTCTATATAGTTTTCGGCTGAGGATGGAGTTGTAAACTTCGAAATCGGTGCCGATTAAAATATTTATGCAAATGCAAAGTTAACCTATTTTGTTTTATTTAATTCTATAAAATAAAAATGTCTAATAGAATAATATTCAATCTTTCACGTTGAAAATAAAATATTTCAAGTGATATCGAATGGTTGGGATATAAGGTTGGGGTCTTGAAATGCATTCGTATAAGAAAATTTATACCCCGATCGTTACGTACCCTTCGTCACGGTGGAAGTTCGGACCACCGAAGAACGACAGAGTGACATATACACATGGATATCTAGCGGCGTGTCCGACATCAATCCTCGGTTCGCCCTCTCTTTATACTCTTCGCCGAATACATTTTACAGCAACTTTTCCATGGGTAGAACGGCCTCACCACGGTTTTCGACCGTATTTTTCCCTCGACCGGCCGTCAGAAAAATACATTGCGGACAGAATCGTTGTTTACCGTATGTGTCTCACTCTCTCTCTGTATGTGTGTAATATCGGGGGCGTTGTACAGAGGGCAAACGGTGGATGTAATCCAGATCCGGATGGAATCTACGCCCGTTATTAATTCGAGAAACTCGTGCCACATGGACAAACACGATATCACTGTGTATACGCACGTGGATTCGTAGTCGTTATACACGAACTGTTTCTTGTTATTCAATATCCCGTAAGCGATTTCCTGCTTAATACCATCTAAATCGTAACGTAACAATTTTATTATTATAGTGTAATTAAATCGCTTTTAAATATTTCAATGCTACTACTTAAATTTATGTTAATGACAAGGTAGTTAAAAATAATACGAGTTAAGATATTCAAATCGTCTTAACTTTATGGCAACTAGGGCGATCATAAAATTTGCACGAACCAAATGTCTAAAAGACGAAAAATTTATCAAATTGAAATTAAGAGTGTTTTTCAAGTCAATAATTTTAGATGTGATATTCCAAAAAGTTTTATATTGACACTTTTAATAAAACATCCAAATCAAACTTATTACATAAATTAAATGTAATTGGCTCAATTTTGATTAACAACTTTATAACCTACTTGCAATTTCATAAACCATCTAAAGTTTATATCTTACGATATACCAGGATTGCTTGTGGTAGGAGTTAAGTAAATCCTTGAAGCAATAAAATTTTATGACTTCTGTTT